ATTACATGTTAATAACTTGATTGGAATTATAACCTTGAATTGACAGTTTGATACTTTGAAAATTTTGAGCCAGCCCTACCCCCAAGGGCTGTAGGGTGGGGCTCAAAGGAGTCAGTGTGCTAAAATTTCTTCATTTTCCTTGTTAAGAATCAGAGGTGCTAGTTTCAAATCCTTTTTAGTCTGAAATCTGTATGCTAGATATTGAGTAAGGTGGTTTTATTGTTTTTTGTCACTTTGAATAATATTTCTGTTCATGTTAAAAACAAAATCAACTCTCTGTATAAATATATCAGGTGACCGTTAAGGCCCATGGGCCTCTTGTTAGTGATTGTATTGGTTGTTTGAGGCATGTACAGTAATTTATGTTCATCTTGTGCATAAAGAATAGATCTTTCGATCCATGTGCGACATGTGTGTGAAAGTGACGATTTGTTTCTAAAATATCCGTTTGAAGTGTGACCTGGGCCATTTATTTCCCGCATAATATAGAGAATCGGGAGCGGGTCGCTTATTTCCCGCATATTATAGAGGGCCGGAGTTCTGACGTTGATCAATGACAGACCGATATAAAAAAAAGGCGATAAAACATCAGAATAATTCGGACTACCTGCATCCATGGTCCGTGGTACGGGTCCCTCCTTAAACAATTCTTGTTATCAGTATTTCTCAAGAAGTACCAGAGGAATCTTTCTCAAATTTTATATATTTTGAGACTTTTGAGACTGATCAGATAAACAACATGGCCAACAGGCAGCCATCTTGGTTTTTGATAGTAAGTTTGTTATCGCTATTTCTCATGAAATACCGGAGGGATCTTTCTCAAATTGTATATGTAGGTTCCCCTTGGTCCCTAGCTGTGCAGGGCAACTTTTGAGACTGATCAGATAAACAACATGGCCGACCGGCAGCCATCTTGGATTTTGAAAGTGAAAGTTTGTTATCGCTATTTCTCGGGAAGTATCAGAGGGATCTTTCTCAAATTTTATATGTAGGGTTTACTTGGTCCTTAGCTGTGCAGGTTTACTTTTGAGACTGATCATTTATACGAAATAGCCAACAGGTGGCCATCTTGAATTTCGATATTGAAAGTTTGTTATTGCTATTTCTCGTAAGTTATCAGAGGGATCTTTCTCAAATTTTATATGTAGCTTCCCCTTGGTCCTTAGCTGTGCAGGGCAACTTAAGAGACTGATCGGATAAACAACATGGCCGACAGGCAGCCATCTTGGATTTTGATAGTGAAAGTTTGTTATCGCTATTTCTCGAGAAGTAACAGAGGGATCTTTTTTAAATTTTATATGTAGGTTTCCCTTGGTAATTTTCTGTGCAGGGCAACTATTGAGACTGATCGGATAAACAACATGGCCGACAGGCTGCTATCTTGGATTTTGATAGTTTAGGTTTGTTACCGCTGTTTCTCCAGAAGAACGAGAGGGATCTTTCTTAAATTTTATATGTAGGTTCCCCTTGTTCCTAGCTGTGCAGGGCAACTTTTAAGACTGATCGGATAAACAACATGGCCTACAGGCTGCTATCTTCCATTTTGATACTTTAGGTTTGTTACCGCTATTGCTCCAGAAGAACTAGAGGGATCTTTCATAAATTTTATATGTAGGGTCCCCTTGGTCCTAGCTGTGCAGGGCAATTTAAGAGACTGATCAGATAAACAATATGGCCAACAGGCAGCCATCATGGATTTTGATAGTGAAAGTTTGTTATCGCTATTTTTCAGGAAGTACGGGAGGGATCTTTCTCAAATTTTAAATGTAGGTTCCCCTTGATCCCTCGTTGTGTATGTTATATTTTGAGACTGATCATAAAAACAAAATGGATTAAAAGAAGAACTAAACAGATCTTTCTCATATTGCAATGATCGATTCTATTTCTTTCACATTAAGTACTGTACTAGTAAATATGTAAAATGACAAACTCACTTTGAAGGTTGGCTTTCATACACATCAGTATTAAGTTTAGATCAAAAGTTACCTCAAGGTGCATTTACTGTTAACATGACTTGATCAAACAGATAAGAGGAAAGAAGAGAAAAGATCGAACTGACAAAGAACTAATGAAGATGGTACATTGGTGGGCGCCAAGATCCCTCTGGGATCTCTTGTTACCCTTGCAGAATTATCCCTGATAAATCAGGTCTGAATTACTTTGAAATAAAAAAAAAAAGGTTTATCAGCTATTTGAGAAAAGCTGTAGATAGGAAATCATCGTCACAACATAACTATACATGCACTGGAATGACACACAACTTTTAAACTTCTGTGGAATCTAGGAAACAACTTTATACAAATTCTATACAAATTCTGTTAGAGACAGTAATCAGCCTAGCTATTGGGCTGGGTCAAGATCTGTTATTGTGATATACCAGCTATCGTTATTGGTATTTGGCTGGGTCCAGATCAGTTATTGTGATATACCAGCTATCTTTATTAAAATTTGGCTGGGTCATGATCTATTATTGTGATATATGGTGATATACCAGCTATCATTATTGGTATTGGGCTGGGTCCAGACCTGTTATTGTGATATATACCAGCTATCGTTATTGGTGTTGGGCTGGGTCCAGATAAGTTATTGTTATATACCAGCTATCGTTATTGGTATTGGGCTGGGTCTAGATCTGTTATTGTGATATACTAGCTATCGTTATTGGTATTTGGCAGGTTTCCGATCAGTTATTGTGATATACCAGCTATCGTTATTGGTATTTGGCTGGGTCCAGATCTGTTATTTTGATATACCAGCTATCGTTATTGGTATTGGGCTGGGTCCAGATGAGTTATTGTAATATACCAGCTATCGTTATTGGTATTGGGCTGGGTCCAGACCCGTTATTGTGATATACCAGCTATCGTTATTGGTATTAGGCTGGGTCCAGATTTGTTATTGTGATATACCAGCTATCGTTATTGGTATTGGGCTGGGTCCAGACCTGTTATTGTGATATACCAGCTATTGTTATTGGTATTGGGCTGGGTCTAGATCTGTTATTGTGGTATGCCAGCTATCGTTATTGGTGTTGGGGTAAGTCCAGATCAGTTATGTTGATATACCAGCTATCGTTATTTGTATTGGGCTGGGTGCATATCTGTTATGGTGATATACCAGCTATCGTTATTGGTTTTAGGCTAGGTTCAGATCAGTTATTGTGATATACCAGCTATCATTATTGGTATTGGGCTGGGTCCAGACCTGTTATTGTGATATACCAGCTATGGTTATTGGTATTGGGCTGGGTCCAGATCTGTTATTGTGTATACCAGCTATCATTATTGGTATTTGGCTGGGTCCAGATATTTTATTGTGATACACATTACCGGCTATCGTTATTGGTGTTGGGCTAAGTCCAGATCAGTTATGTTGCTATACCGGCTATCGTTATTGGTGTTGGGCTGGGTCCAGATCAGTTATGTTGATATACCAGCTATCGTTATTGGTATTGGGCTGGGTCCAGATCTGTTATTGTGATATACCAGCTATCGTTATTGGTATTGGGCTGGGTCCAGATCTGTTATTGTGATATCCCAGCTATCGTTATTGGTGTTGGGCTGGGTCCAGATCAGTTATGTTGATATACCAGCTATCGTTCTTGGTATTGGGCTGGGTCCAGATCTGTTATTGTGATATCCCAGCTATCGTTATTGGTATTTGGCTGGGTCCAGATCTGTTATTGTACTATACCAGCTATCGTTATTGGTGTTGGGCTGGGTCCAGATCTGTTATTGTATATACCAGTTATCGTTATTGGTATTCTTTTGATAAACATATACTGTATTTGGCAGATTTTAAACTAAAACAAAAATATTCCAGGTCATTTATAAAGCCCCTTTTATCACTCTCCATGAGTTAAAATCATAGCTGGTAATGTAAGCATACTGTGACTAAATATTTTCATTCTCTTTCAGATGTCCTTGTTTGTTGGAGGATTTTTCCTGTCAAGGATTTCAAAGAAACGCTTTGTTAAAGACGTTTTGGTTGGTATCAAAACTACTTCCTAACCTTGTTGTATACAAATTGAAACATTCAGTGTGATACAGTCAAATAATTATTTTGTAAAGGCAAACTTGATTTTGGTGTGCAGGTTTTGTCGGTTCAAAGTGTCAAGACAAAAAAATGACCTTGATTGTGTCCCATAAATGCATGGACAATAAAGAGACATGCTTGTCGTAAATTGCCAAACAGTTAAGTGAGAAAGGCAAAGTGGTTTGTACAGTTATCTATGAACTTTTCATGATTGTTACCAGCAAATTAAAAATGTTGTTTAATACATGTTCAAATATGCATCTATGCTTCATTAGACATGTTTCTTGTTGTTATGATGCATCTTCATAAGTTTGTATATGAAAAGTCAAACTGAAGTAAACTGATTTTTGTCTTATAATTAGATGTGACTTAAGTGTCCCTTTTGTCAGCCATTTTGCATTAGTGCCACCTGGCTTGATTGTAACATTTCCAAGTTATTCCCAGTTAACCGCATTTCATAAAAAACATTTTTAATGATAATTTTATATAATTAAACTTACAAAATACCTGAAAGGAAATTGAATCAACAATAAACCATTCTTCTACCCCTGTACAAACACACTCAAACTCACATGTAAAAGATTAATCGTTTTTTACCAATGAATTTGATAACATTATCAACCAATCAAAATTAAAAGTTCATGATTTGCAAATGTTCAGCGGTCATTGTGTGCTCTGATTGATTTGACTGCAAATACATAATCCAAGCATAGTATCTTCTATAGAGGATATAAATGTATGGATATTTTTATCTTCTGACTTCACTTTCTAAATTTACCCCATTCCAACCCTTGTGACAGTTCATGTGTGTTTGAAGCCCCATTTAAGAATATTTTTTGGGAACAAGTTATTTTCCAGAAAAGAAATTGTAAGTAGATAGACTTAATAATTCAGTATGTCCAAAGAGCCACTTCTTGTTACAATTCCTTTAAATGTCCTAACTTTACTGAAAGCTTGTCCTGGAATAACAAGAATTATGTATATTAAGAGAATAACAGTCCAGAATATTCTGGTTCAGATCAGGATTGTACCGGTTCAAATCAGAACTGGTCCAGATCAGGTGTGTACTAGATTAGATCAGGACTGGTTCAGATGAGAAATGTACTGGTTCAGATGAGGACTGGTTTAAAACAGGAATGTACCGGTTCAGATTGGTTTAAATCAGAAATGTACTGGTTCAGATAAGAAATATATATACAAGATTAGATTAGGACTACTTCAAATGAGGAACTTACAACTGGTTCAGACCAAGACTGGTTTAACCAAGGAATGTACTGGTTCAGACCAAGACTGGTTTAACCAAGGAATTAACTGGTTCAGACCAAGACTGGTTTAACCAAGGAGTGTACTGGTTCAGACCAAGACTGGTTTAACCAAGGAATTTACTGGTTCAGACCAAGACTGGTTTAACCAAGGAATTTACTGGTTCAGAACAAGACTGGTTCAACCAAGGAATGTACTGGTTCAGACCAAGACTGGTTTAACCAAGGAATGTACTGGTTCAGACCAAGACTGGTTTAACCAAGGAATGTACTGGTTCAGACCAAGACTGGTTTAACCAAGGAATTTACTGGTTCAGAACAAGAAGATAGTGGGTCAGATTAAGACTGGTGCAAACCAGTAATATACTGGTTCAGATCAGGAATGTACTATAGCTCGTTCAGATAAGGACTAGTTCAGATTATAATTAGGAATTTGTCGGTTCACATCAAAGGGCTATTTCTTTACACTAAGATTTTAATTGTGTAAAACATTTGCATAAAGCCAAAAACAGGTTTCTGTTTTTACCTAAAACCCCTACTTTTTCATAGTTTAAGTTTTTAACCAATTTCAGACAAGCCCTATTAACATGGAGTTTCTTTTGCTATACAGTTTATGTAAAAACAAAGTTAAAACATTTCTCTACCTAGCAACCTAACATTTTTCAGAAATCGAACCATGAAACAGACAAATCACCTTATTAGGTTTACTTGTTCATGAAATAAGATATGTTTCTTTAAGAAGAAAAATTCCATTGCAGAATGTGCCAACCAAAGAGGAGATGTTGGCAGCAGGGATTGATATAGATACAGATTTGGCCTCAGCAGAGTTGGAAGAAGAATTAAAGGTACCTATAGTAGAAATTGGAGATAAAAAGACCTCCCTTACAATGATCAGTTGACCAAGTTAAAAAGATTTTCAGACAACAGCAAAGTTTTTATGTTTGCAGTTGTAAGCCTTATACAGCTGTATCTATGATGGTAACTTAAAACATACCAACAAGTGAAGCTGGCATTAAAGAAACAAATATGTGTAATTCTAGGAATGTTAACATACATATATACGTAGAAAACCATGCTGATCATTCTATGGGAGAAAACTTAAAGGTTTCAAACAATGTAAGCTTTTGTATATATTACATCACCTTCAGAAGTCCAGCATGGAGAAAGTGCGTGATGTTGTTGTGAGTTAAAGATCATATGGAGATCTCTCCATCGTAAGTAAGGAGAGATCTAGTAAGGAGAGAGATCTCCATCGTAAGTAACGAGAGAGATCTCCATCTTAAGTAAAGAGAGATCTCCATCATAAGTAAGGAGAGATATCTCCATTGTAAGTAATGAGAGAGATCTCCATCATAAGTGAGGAGAGATATCCCCTTCATAAGTGAGGAGAGATATCTCCATCATAAGTGAGGAGAGATATCTCTATCATAAGTGAGGAGAGAGATCTCCATTGTTAGTAACGAGAGAGATCTCCATCATAAGCGAGGAGAGAGATCTCCATCATAAGCGAGGAGAGAGATCTACATCATAAGTATGGAGAGATATCTTCATAAGTAAGGGGAGAGATCTCCATCATAAGTGAGGAGAGATAACTCCATCATAATTGAGGAGAGATATCACCATTGTAAGTAACTAGAGAGATCTCCATCATAAGTAACGAGAGAGGGAGAGATATCCCCTTCATAAGTGAGGGGAGATATCTCCATCATAAGTGAGGAGAGCTATCACCATTGTAAGTAACGAGAGATCTCCATCATAAGTAACGAGAGAGATCTCAATCATAAGTGAGGAGAGATATCTCCATGATAAGTGAGGAGAGAGATCTCCATTCTAAGTAACGAGAGAGATCTCCATCATTGGTGAGGAGAGATATCTCCATCATAAGTGAGGAGAGAGATCTCCATTGTTAGTAACGAGAGAGATCTCCATCATAAGCGAGGAGAGAGATCTACATCATAAGTATGGAGAGATATCTTCATAAGTAAGTAAGGAGAGAGATGTCCATCATAAGTGAGGAGAGATAACTCCATCATAATTGAGGAGAGATATCACCATTGTAAGTAACTAGAGAGATCTCCATCATAAGTAAGGAGAGATATCCCCATTGTAAGTAATGAGAGAGATCGCCATCATAAGTGAGGAGAGATATCTCCATAATTAGGTAAGGAGAAAGATCTCCATCATTAGTGAGGAGAGAGATCACCATTGTAAGAAACGAGAGAGATCTCCATCATAAGTAAGGAGAGATATCTCCATTGTAAGTAACGAGGGAGATCTCCATCATAAGTGAGGATAGATATCTCCATCATAATTGAGGAGAGATATCACCATTGTAAGTAACTAGAGAGATCTCCATCATAAGTAAGGAGAGATCTCTCCATTGTAAGTAATGAGAGAGATCTCCATCCTAAGTGAGGAGAGATATCCCCTTCATAAGTGAGGAGAGATATCTCTATCATAAGTGAGGAGAGATATCTTCATCATAAGTGAGGAGAGATATCTCTATCATAAGTGAGGAGAGAGATCTCTATCATAAGTGAGGAGAGATATCTCCATAATTAGGTAAGGAGAAAGATCTCCATCATAAGTGAAGAGAGATATCCCCTTCATAAGTGAGGAGAGATATCTCCATAATTAGGTAAGGAGAAAGATCTCCATCATAAGTGAAGAGAGATATCCCCTTCATAAGTGAGGAGAGATATCTCCATAAGTAAGTAACGAGAGAGATCTCCATTATAAGTGAGGAGAGATATCTTCATGATAAGTGAGGATAGAGATCTCCATCAAAAGTGAGGAGAGATATCTCCATCATAATTGAGGAGAGATATCACCATTGTAAGTAACTAGAGAGATCTCCATCATAAGTAACGAGAGATATCTCAATCATAAGTGAGGAGAGATATCTCCATAATTAGGTAAGGAGAAAGATCTCCATCATAAGTGAAGAGAGATATCCCCTTCATAAGTGAGGAGAGATATCTCCATCATAAGGGAGGAGAGAGATCTCCATCATAAGCGAGGAGAGAGATCTCCATCATAAGTAAGGAGAGATATCCCCATTGTAAGTAATGAGAGAGATCTCCATCCTAAGTGAGGAGAGATATCCCCTTCATAAGTGAGGAGAGATATCGCCATCATAAGTGAGGAGAGATATCTCCATAAGTAAGGAACGAGAGAGATCTCCATGATAAGTGAGGAGAGAGATCTCCATTCTAAGTAACGAGAGAGATCTCCATCATAAGCGAGGAGAGAGATCTACATCATAAGTATGGAGAGATATCTTCACAAGTAAGTAAGGAGAAAGATCTCCATCATAAGTGAAGAGAGATATCCCCTTCATAAGTGAGGAGAGATATCTCCATCATAAGTGAGGAGAGATAACTCCATCATAATTGAGGAGAGATATCACCATTGTAAGTAACTAGAGAGATCTCCATCATAAGTAAGGAGAGATATCCCCATTGTAAGTAATGAGAGAGATCTCTATCATAAGTGAGGAGAGAGATCTCCATCAAAAGTGAGGAGAGATATCTCCATCATAATTGAGGAGAGATATCACCATTGTAAGTAACTAGAGAGATCTCCATCATAAGTAAGGAGAGATATCCCCATTGTAAGTAATGAGAGAGATCTCTATCATAAGTGAGGAGAGAGATCTCCATGATAAGTGAGGAGAGAGATCTCCATCATTAGTGAGGAGAGATATCTTCATAAGTAAGGGGAGAGATCTCCATCATAAGTGAGAAGAGATATCTCCATCATAAGTGAGGAGAGAGGTCTCCATCAAAAGTAAGGAGAGCGATCTCCATCATAAGTGAGGAGAAAGTCCTCCATCGTAAGTAAGGAGAGATATCTTCATAAGTAAGTAAGGAAAGAGATGTCCATCATAAGTGAGGAGAGATAACTCCATCATAATTGAGGAGAGATCACCATTGTAAGTAACGAGAGATCTCCATCATAAGTAACGAGAGATATCTCAATCATAAGTGAGGAGAGATATCTCTATCATAAGTGAGGAGAGATATCTCCATTGTAAGTAACGAGGGAGATCTCCATCATAAGTGAGGAGAAAGTCCTCCATCGTAAGTAAGGAGAGATATCTTCATAAGTAAGGGGAGAGATCTCCATCATAAGTGAGAAGAGATATCTCCATCATAAGTGAGGAGAGATAACTCCATCATAATTGAGGAGAGATATCACCATTGTAAGTAACTAGAGAGATCTCCATCATAAGTAACGAGAGAGGGAGAGATATCCCCTTCATAAGTGAGGAGAGATATCTCCATAAGTAAGTAACGAGAGAGATCTCCATGATAAGTGAGGAGAGAGATCTCCATGATAAGTGAGGAGAGAGATCTCCATCATGAGTAACGAGAGAGATCTCCATCAGAAGGGAGGAGAGATATCTTCATAAGTAAGTAAGGAGAGAGATGTCCATCATAAGTGAGGAGAGATAACTCCATCATAATTGAGGAGAGATATCACCATTGTAAGTAACTAGAGAGATCTCCATCATAAGTAACGAGAGAGGGAGAGATATCCCCTTCATAAGTGAGGGGAGATATCTCCATCATAAGTGAGGAGAGCTATCACCATTGTAAGTAACGAGAGAGATCTACATCATAAGTGAGGAGAGATATCTCTATCATAAGTGAGGAGAGAGATCTCCATTGTTAGTAACGAGAGAGATCTCCATCATTGGTGAGGAGAGATATCTCCATCATAAGTGAGGAGAGAGGTCTCCATCAAAAGTAAGGAGAGCGATCTCCATCATAAGTGAGGAGAGATATCTCCATCATAATTGAGGAGAGATATCACCATTGTACTCCATCAAAAGTAAGGAGAGCGAAAGTAACGAGAGAGATCTCCATCATAAGTGAGGAGAGAGATCTCCATCATAAGTGAGGAGAGATATCTTCATAAGTAAGTAGGGAGAGAGATCTCCATCATAAGTGAGGAGAGAGATCTCCATCATTAGTGAGGAGAGATATCTTCATCATAAGTGAGGAGAGATATCTCCATCATAAGTGAGGAGAGAGATCTCCATCAAAAGTGAGGAGAGATATCTCCATCATAAGTGAGGAGAGAGATCTCCATTGTAAGTAACGAGAGAGATCTTCATCATAAGTGAGGAGAGATATCTACATACGTAAGTAGGGAGAGAGATCTCCATCATAAGTAACGAGAGAGATCTCCATTATAAGTGAGGAGAGAGATCTCGATCATTAGTGAGGAGATAGATCTCCATCATAAAAGAGGAAAGAGATCTCCATTATAAGTGAGGAGAGAGATCTCGATCATTAGTGAGGAGATAGATCTCCATCATAAAAGAGGAAAGAGATCTCCATTATAAGTGAGGAGAGATATCTTCATCATAAGTATGGAGAGATATCTTCATAAGAAAGGAGAAAGATCTCCATCATAAGCGAGGAGAGAGATCTCCATCATTAGTGAGGAGAGATATCTTCATCATAAGTGAGGAGAGATATCTCCATCATAATTGAGGAGAGATATCACCATTGTAAGTAACTAGAGAGATCTCCATCATAAGTATGGAGAGATATCTTCATAAGTAAGGAGAAAGATCTCCATCATAAGTGAAGAGAGAGATCTCCATTGTAAGTAACGAGAGAGATCTCCATCATAAGTGAGGAGAGAGATCTCCATCATAAGTGAGGAGAGAGATCTCCATCATAAGTGAGGAGAGAGATCTCCATCATAAGTGAGGAGAGAGATCTCCATCATAAGTGAGGAGAGAGATCTCCATCATAAGTGAGGAGAGAGATCTCCATCATAAGTGAGGAGAGAGATCTCCATCATAAGTGAGGAGAGAGATCTCCATCAT